ATAAATGTTTGTGACACTAAAACCGTAGTGTTGAAGCAGCTGTCTGCCAATTACTTCTCGGTCGACGTTTTCGAAGGCCTTTTCAAAATCGATGAAGTTGTAGTAAAGATCCAACTGACTGCCATTCTATGCTCAAAACAGCCAATTACATTCCTATGTTTTAAGAATAACTACCATCCCAACCGAAATATGGAGAGCTGATTGGTTAGTTCAGCAGTTTCTAAGGTGGCCCTGAAATTCACTCAGAAATTAACTATCATTTTTCAATTTTATACCCTTTTTCCCCACACTTCCTCAGGCTTTAAACGTATATCCAATGATATGAAAACGATGTTTGGATTTTCACTCAAATGGATTGTTTTCGTGTTCTGGTGCGTACTCACACCAATATTCACTTTGGTAAGGGCTTTACAAGTGATCCTTTTCTTGTGCCAACTAGTAATTTCAACTGTTCTTTCTTTGTAACTGAGTAAACACAGTAGTGTTTCGATATGGACTTACCACATCTTCCGCACAAATACTAATTGTATAATTATGTGATTTTGGTAAGAGAGATGCCTACTGATGTTATCGACTAGTGAAGATGGATAGCTTGAACTCTACATTCAAAAGGAGTTCATCCAGTCACTCGAGCTGTAGTTGACATGACCTGAAGGAACGCTTTACCTATAAAATCTTTTCTCTCACGTGCTAACTAGCATATCACGTCTTATCAGACATCAAGTAATATACTTCTTGAAGTGATTGAGTGGAAATGACTGACAGAATAATCCAAGAATCGAGAAAGCTATTAACTCGATGAGATATTTGAATTGGATACGAATAGTAACTTTTCTACTTCAGACTTGATACTTCACTGAGTCTCGAAAATCACAAGACAAACAGCGGTCTGTGACTGTAAGGAAGATAACTTTATTTAACAAAAACGGTACATCATTTATATACAGTTTTTCGTGAAAAAGTAAAGCTACAAGGTCAGAAGTTGGAGGCTCATTTTCATTGATCGGCTGAAGGACAAAGGTGTCCAATAAGGTGTTTCCGCCCACACAGTAACATGAAGCAAGATTGAAATCCAAAACTCCTGTCTTGGCTGCTGACGACTTAGAATGCTGATTTCGATTTAGGCCACTTCCTAGCACCTCCCTTCGTAAAGAGTGAATGACTTCTATTTTGGATCCAATTTGAAGGGCTGTGATCTTGTCATTTTTCAAACTGACCTGATATAGATGGGCTGTTTTCCTTCTGCTCCCTGTGCTTCCAACAAAACTTCAAGCATAGAGTTTTGCTTTTTGTTGTTTGATATCTCTGCTCAAGGTTGTATGTGGTTTGCATACCTAATCCATGTCTGTCCTTCTACGTTCACTTTGTACAGAAAATTTTCTTGACGTCCAAGCACTTTCCCATCTGCTCACTATAAAGGCGAATAACAAACACCATGTTCGTAGACTAACTGGTTTAATTTGAAAACTCAGCGTCTAGCTTCATGGTGATGATTGAACTCATTTTCCATTTTCTTATTCCTTTACGCTTGCTGAGGCTTGATTGCATCGATGACATTTTTAACTTTTTGACTAAACATGATTTCTGCTGGATATAACTGACATGGGGCCTCGGGATTTGGTATCATACAGTAGAACCGCAAAAAGTTATCCTATATTTCCGCCATCGTCCGTTCCTCCTTCGCCTTCAATAAAGCTTGCTCGAAGGTATCCACAACACGTTCTGCTTGGTCATTTGACTGAGGATGATATAGGGGGGCACGAACGTGTTGAATGCAGAATTGCTTGCAAATATCAGAGAACACAGATGGTGTAAGCTGAGTCCCATTATCAGTTACCAGTACGTCAAGAATATCAAAACGAAAGAACAGATGGTGCAGCAGAGCGACTGTTGCACTAGATATTACGCACTGCATAAAGTAGAACTTCCGGTCATTTAGAAAATCCATCTGCCGTCTTGGCGGACAACGTCTTCAATATGTGCATCAATGTTGGGCCAGTAGACATAACTTCGAGCAATCGATTTCATTCTACCAACTGTATGATGCGATGAATGAAGTTGACGGAGAAAACAGACATGGAGATAAACAGGAACGAGCACCCGATCTGCAAACATTATACAATCTTTAACAATAGATAAGGACTGGTTTCGTTGATAAAACTGCTTCAGTTCATCGAAATGAATATAAGGAGGCCAACCGCATTGGATAAATTTTTAAACCTGTTGCAAAACTGGATCACGTAGAGTAGAGTTAGCAATTTCGGCTGTAGTAACTGGCAGTAGTTGAGTTGCATTCATGACAGCTTTGCTTACATCGTCTTTGACAGAGAGTAATCCAATAACACTATCTTCATTCTCCAATTTCTGACTGCTCAACAGAAGGGATTGTACATCTACCTGACCAAACTCAGAAGTTGACCTGTACTTCATACCAACACCATATTCCAATAAGGCGATTTAGGGTATACTTTGGAATACATTTCTCCTAACCCACGAGGGGAAACCTCAATGGATTGACATGATTTTCTAGAGTATCATTTAAACCAGTGGAAAAATCTGCACATAAATGAATAGAACTCTTTGCCTTGCGTACAATCACTATTGAAGCACACTATAGAGAATACATGAATGGTTGGAGGATACTCACTGCCTCTAATCTATCGAGCTCACTGTCAACCAGATTTGCTGCAGCATAAAGAACTAGACGTTTCGGACGAAACAGTATTTTGGCATTTGGCTTCAAAAACAAGCAAACCTGAGTCAATTTACATCAACCGAGATTGTCTTGACAAATTTTTGCTTGCTTCTGAAGTAAGCGCTTCACTAGAGATTTACCAGACACATAAGACGAAATAATATCAAGTGAAGATGACGTAATACGCGAGCATACTGAATTAAGTGGAACATTCAAGAAATCCAGTTTATGCATCCAGTCTAAACCAAGCAGATCTAAATCATGACGTTTTGTAAGATAACATAGATCATGGAATTTACGTTCTCCAAATTAGATATGACAGCTAATCTCACCAATGAGTTTCAGAACATATCCCAAAGCTTTTTAAGCAGTGTGTTCAGTTGGTTGGACCTTAGGACAACAAGAGGTACACCACGTGTTGCGAGAAATCAAAGTAATATCGGAAGTTGCATTAAGCTAGGAAGGAATAGGTTTACCACCAAAATCAACTTTGAAAGTCCTGAAAATTCCTTGAACTTGGCTCGATGAGTTGTGCTTGAAAAGAGGACGTTCAGTCTCCATAGTAATGTTTTTCTTTGGTGAACAGTAACAACTTGAGTAGTAGTTGGAAACCATTCAGACTGATCTGTGAATTTCGCCAGCCAGTCAGATCAGAGTGATCTAAATGCCGGATGATTATTACATTTAGTTTGGGGACGAGCTCATGGCAAGTAGTGTATCTGGACAGATTCAATTCAGAGCCAAATTAGTTCAGATCACCTGAAACTGGTTAGCTGACTTCCATGAACCGGTAAACCTAATCTGTAAATGATTGACAAACAGCTCGGTCCACACTGACATTTCTCGTAGCTGAGGAGTTTTTTCACCTACCCAACTGTAGTATCAGCAGGGTTTCTCCTGGAAGCAACTCAGTAGCCAATACCACAATATGTGATCTCTGACATAAGTGTCATAAACTAACGAGATATACAACTACTAAACAACATGAGTAGTAGTTAGAAACCACTCAGATTGGCAGGTAAATTTCACCAGTCAGCCAGATAAGAGTGATAGTACGGCAGTTGAAAATCCGCTGAGCTAGGAGAAGTATCAGAATGAACTGTGCAGTTAAGAAACCATTTGCTAATTATTAATCGTATCGAAGCCTATTTGTCAATAAATGCCTCGCTTACAGGTACCAACAACAATAATTAGACGTAAACCTCAGAACTCAATCCCTACATAGGAACCCATCTACCAACAGCAGAGGTCGAGCAATTTAGCTCTGTATATCAACGGGAAATTATGGGTATTACAACAACAACTGATACCTGTAGTACAAAAGGTGGTTATCTTGACCTAGTGACATAGTAGGTAGCGCGCTGGTGGTTGAAGCGATGGGTAGTTGGTTCGAGTTTCAGTGGGAATAACATCACCCACCGAGGTGCAGGTACATCCAGTCTACGAGTCCCAAATAGAATGAAACGAGCGTCCTGGATTTCTCTGCGAGTCACCAACATGAAACCTATAGAATTATTTCAAGTATTTAACACCTAAATAAGGAAATATTGGGAAATGAAAGGAAGCAAAATAAACTAAGGACTGGAAACAAAGTCATCGAATGTCACACGTACATTGAATCCATATCTAGAACTATTCAATGTCTAGTGACTATTTTGATGCCTCTTCTGAATACACTGCATATCAACTACATATTTCCCTTACTTAGAATTCAGCAATGTTATTAAAGACGGATAGCTGTTAACAGTGGAGGTAACTGTCTCCCAGTCAGGGATGTTCTCCTAAATGATGCTCGAACCCAGCACCTATCGATTCAAACACTAAAATGTTACTCATTATTCTCATGAGGTATGATTGCCTCTCTTTGTGCATAGCGCATACTTTGATATTCGTCGTAAGTATATCAAAATGAAATCACTGGTTGTATCGAGGTTTTGTACAACAGCTCATATGTCAACAAAGGTCGATGAGTTCGCTTCAAACCCATAGCTAAGGGGAGCTAACAAGTTCTAATATATCACCTTGATCGCTAACACAGATTGAAATATGCATGAGAAAGGAAACTTGTTTAACTATGAGAATTAGCCTTATTTATGATTCTATATGGATTATTTTCATGGATTATGTTTTTTTTATCCTCTTCTGCACCCACATGTATGTTCACCTTCCACCCCCTACGAAATCACCACACATTTAGATTCTTTTCATTATCAGTGTTATTATCTATGAGGAATTGACGTATAAACGTGTCTCTACTAGCCAAATATATCATTTCCCTGGATGGGCTGTCAAATCTGGTTGGCTTATGGCCAGCACTAGTGTATTGTTGATACCACTTGTCATGGTTGTGAAAATTATTAAAACACCTGGAACGTTTATACAAGTAAGTAGTACATGATTCTTATTGAGTAGTAGAAATTTAAACTTAATCATTACATATCAGATGATGGTTGCAACTTGACAGTCTATTCTGGACAGTAGACTGAATTCTACCCTGTCTCCTTCCTTTCACAACTTCATTCTTTCCTTCAAAACCCTCCTAAAAAGGCAGATGTAACTATGATAATCAGTTATACTAATAATTGGATTCATAATACATAAAAAACACCGAGCTACACACGAACTCATCAATTCATATACTACTAAAATAAGTTGGTTAGTTATTTCATTTCTACCACTTTCTTCCTCACATAGGATACAAGCTACACAAGGCGTCCTACACATTTTGTATTTCGCAATACGTGCATCAAGTTTTACATACTTTCTTGTCTGGCGACAAACTCCAAAGTTCTACGCATTCCAGCATAAACTTTCCTCAACAGCCTAGAAAAGAACAGACTGTAAAATGTAAGAGTTAAAAAAAACACAAAAGAAAAGACTGAATTATCCCAAGAACTCTCAGATCAGCTCCCCCTGATATATTACGTTAGGTGATAGATTCTTTAGGAAATGAGTAAGATATGACAGGACCAGGAAACATCAGACAAAAATCATGCACCTAGATAGACCACACATTTTGAGTTCTCCAATACATAACCACCAATAAGAAACAAGAATCATGAAATTTTATCAGTTTTCACTGGTTATGTTTAGATCTGAAAGTGGGATTGAGGCATTAAACACCAGACCATTAGAGGAGGACCACAGTTCAATAGAAGAAAAAAATCATTACGTTGGGAACAACCTGATGAAGAAGTGACAGGCAAGTGAACCAAACATCCTAGCTCAGTTAGTAGAACGCCAAGCCGACAACCCTATATGCCTATAACCCGAATCTTGAGTAAACTCAGGGTTTCAATTCAACTTTAATCATTACCAATTATCAATAATACTGACTTGGTCAAACCATGGCTTTCTCAAATAGTCAAACAGATGATCAAATGATGCTCCACCTCTCTAATTCAGCTTGACTCCGATTGGGATGAGAAGTCCTGACTAAGGATAGGCTGAACTGGACACCAAGCCAACTAGCCAGTGTGAGTGAGTACCATGAACGAACAGTAATGTATTCCATAGTTATATGACAACCAAGCAGAAATCTTGGTGTCTGCAGTGAAGTTAAGTCCCGACTAGTCAACTCGTGTTCGAACTGATAAATGCGAACTGCTTGGCTTTAATGCTGTCAGGTGACTGTAACAGTCTGCACGCCTGTGTTTGCATGTCGGTGCACTTGTCTACGCATTGTCCATACACCCATGAGTCACCAACTGAACTGAACGTATAACAGGCTGTTTGAAACCTATTAACTGGCATTTTGTATTTCCCTCCCCCCCCCCACTGTATAACAGAAGACGACCGAGACTAATGCCACAGCCCCACCTCTTTGTAATCCGTATTATAGGAGCCATCCATATTATACAACTGGATTACAAAACCACAAGACAGTAATTTATTAGAAAACAAAGAAACACCTAATTTAATGCACAGAAATTAAGATAATTTTGAAACCATTAGTCTTATGAAATCCGGTCAGAAGCTAGTTAGAAGCCCTTGAACTGAGCTGTCAAATTAGTCGTAAGTAGAATGTCTTGTAAAGTCGATAAGGCTCGTCTGAGTTGCTTGTTTTTATTTCTTCAGTACGTCATAACATTCAGCAGATAGGTAGAGCTCCAGATTGGCAATCGGGAGGTTCCATGCTAAAATCTTCCAGGGATTCAAGTTTCAGTTCCACCTTTAAACACTGCTCTGTTCTGATTGGTGAAAAACATTTAGGCAAGACAAGGCAAAGCAGACAAATGCATTGTATGTGCACAAAGACGGCTCAGAACATCCACACAACTCGTTGCAATGCATTAATCAATCACAAAAGAAGGAGAAAAACCGTAAAATTGGGTTGCTTGCAGTTTTCCTATGCTTCCACTGACTGTCTGAATTACATTGACTTTTGAAATGGTATCAGATACACGACTGTCAAATCTACAAATGTAAAATAGCAATTTGACCACCTGAGATAGCTGTGGATTGACGGACTTGTGTTATTCATACTGGGTGGTGTTTGAAGGTGAGACGAATTTCTAAGTGAGCCACAATGCCCAGCTGCTGATAAACAGTCGTAATTTCACATCAATCGACAATGGGTTACTCTCAGCTGCCATATGAATTTGGGATGCCTGCCTATCCCTCCATTGTATTCACTCGCACTGGCTGGCTGCTCTGCCTAATCCAGCTCAGTCAGGAATTCCCATCCAAATCTACTTGAATTAGAGAGACGATGCATCATACTGATTATCACTTTGACTATCTCAGGTAGTCATGTTTTGACAGGATTTTACCATTCATATTGGGGAATGTAAATTACCCGATGTAAATATGTGTAAACTAATTCATATAACAACTACTGATGTGACCACAAATAAGATCACTCCTCTTCGCCAGTTGTCTAACCGGTCACTCTTCAAGGATTATGATCTTTCACTAAGTCAGTCAAAACATCTTCCTCAAATATTTACGAGAATCATCTCTGAGGATTCATCCACAATGCGTTATCTTAACATTTTGGATTCCTATATGAAGACTGTGGTCAATTGCAGTGAACAGTTATGGTATTCCTTTACAAAGCGACATTCATTATGAATTGACACTAACTAAAGAAATATTAAATATCTCACATTGCTGGATATTTGTTCCGTCCTAGTGTGGGACCCTTTAAATCTCATGGGGGATCGAACTGAACTAAAACAACCATTAGGGCTATTGTTCGGTAAGTTACATTCATATTCCATTTCTAATGAGAAACGGTTAACAGAAAAACTGGTTCACAGTCTCTCAGATACTAATAACTGACTGATAGTAATGATAGAAAGCGACTATCGATAGAATTCAGAACGTGCGTTTCTTTTCAGTTGGGACTCATCTTTGCGATGCACCTGGTTAACAGTGGTTGCTGCGGTGGACTGGATCATTCGAGAAACTGTGAGGAGTGAGAAGATGGACACACGCTGTTCGACCGATGAAAAGACCCTATGAGATTTGGATTTCGCCTATGATGATGATTTATGTCTGTCTTATGTCTCACAAAACTAAAAGATCTACAGGCAGGAACTAAAAAGTTAGCAGAAGAGGTGAGGCAGCGAAAACAGGACTTCCTTCAGGTCAACCTAGAGAAGACGGAGATGATGAACATATCAAACCAACAACAACAACAAGCACCAATCACCATGAATGGCAGACACCTAAAAAAAGTTGTCTCTTTCACATACCCAGGCAAGGCAGAAGCGTCTCAACTGAAGGCGGCACAGATGAGATGTCAAAACAAGGAACGCAAACACAGCAAGACAGGCATTCCTGAATTAATCTTAAATCTTGAGGGGTTGTGGAGATTTGGAATTATTTCAAGTTGTTATTCATCGAAGACTGACATCAGTTGGAGGAACAAAGGAAACCTGGGAGCACTGGACAGCTGTTTCGTCCTAGTACGGGACTCCTCAGCAGTGCGCACCCACGACCCCACCAGCAGGGATCGAACCCGCGACCTTCAGGTTCCGCGACCAGCGCGTTACCATTGAGCCACTGTCCAGTGCTCCCAGGTTTCCTTTGTTCCTCCAACTGATGTCAGTCTTCGATGAATAACAACTTGAAATAATCTTAAATCACTGTGGAGATCTACTCCACTCCACTGCACTCAGCATAAACCCTCAACAACATCCAGATTTTCAACACTAATTCAGTCAAGTCAGTGCTTCTATATGCTTCAGGGATTTGGCGTGTCACAAAAAGCACTTCCAACAAACTACAGACACACATCAACACCTACCACCTACACTCACTCAATACTGACACTGAAGATCACATCAGATGGCCAGAATAATAAGAATAAGCAACAAACAACTCTGGTCTGCCAACAAACCAACGAAGCAACAACCTATCACCCAACAAATATGCAGAAGAAGGAAGTGTAGGTGTATTGGTCATACACTGAGAAGACCGGTTGGGGATATCACGCACCAGGTCAGGCCAGTCCTGGCCGTCGAGTGGGACTCCCCATGGGAAACGACGAGTTGGGCATCCCATCTGAGGGTGACATGGAAGAGATTGTGTGAGGAAGAAATGAAAGGTTATGGGGAGTCGTGGCGCCAGGTTTTGAAGACTGCAGAGAAGAGAGTGCAATGGAGGTGTGCTACTGAAGCCCTATGTTTCACTAGGAACCCAAAGGAAAAATAATAAGAAGAATAAATAACAGTGGTGGCTGTCATGACTCACTAGCTCAGTCGATAACATCCCGGGTTTTGAAGCAATATCCTGTGGGTTCAAATCACACATTAAACTTCTTTTAACACACTTTGATACTTTTCACTGGAAAATCTTGTTCCTGAGACATTTCATGAATGTATGATGCATAGAACTTGCACAATAATGACAGAAATTTATCCCATATTTGACTGATTTATTTCATATAGTACAAAATGATACAGGAATCTATTCCTAGATGACACTCTAAGTATTGTTTACTCCTAATAATCGTATCTAGATGTCTACAGCGAGAATCTTAGGAATATTACATTCTCAAAAAGGCGCCTTCTTAAAACATATTGTACTTAATAAGGTTGGTTATCTTGTTTCAGATTTATAGGGAATTTCATTTATTTTAAGATGGTATTCATAGTGGACTGATATTGATTTGAGAGAAATTCAGTAACTGGGAGCACTAGACTACTGTTTCCTCCTTGTGTGAGACTCTTCATTCGTTCACGTTCACAGAGCCGCTTGGAATCGACCTCAGGATCTTCAAGTCTCGCAGAGAACTCATTAGCTAATCAGTCATGTGATTTGAGTTCAATATTCCACTAAGCATTTATTCAGTTTATCAAGGTTTTCAATAGTTCTCCAAATGATATCAGTTCGTGATATGAATAACACCTTGAAAAAAAAATGATTATCGTTAATTTTTTAACAAAAATTTCCTTCATCTTTTTCCTCTTTAATCAAGCGAATTAAAATTCTGTGTATTCCAATTTATGAGAATTGTGATGTAACTGAAAACATTTCAGGCAGTTTACTCCTTCTTTTCTCTTTATCGGTTTAACTGTCTGATATGGTTGCAGTTTGATAGACTGATAATATATTTATTGCGAAGTGATGATTGAAAGTGGAAGCGGAAATGTGAATCTATTATTATGTCATTGCCCACTGATCGGAATCATACTACAAAGTTCCGACAATCAATATCATCATCAAGATTGGTGAAATCATCATCATCGGGGATTTTGTGCCAACACCTTCAATCATCACTACATATCAGTTCACAAATATTTGTACATTTAAACCCGTCTACATAGAAGTGGAATACTGATGAAAAGGTGAGATTTATATGGTTTCTGAAGAATAGATGATTTGATATTCAAAGTGGGAATGAATCAATTTCAATCACATCACATTCATAGTAGATAATATATTTAACAAGTATACAGATGGCAAACTGAATCAATTTGTCAGTACATTGATTGGTCACGGCGTACACCAAGTCAATTTATGTTGTCTTCCAGTCCTTAATGCTGACTAAATTCTAATAAATGGGTTGAACAAATTAGTCCCGAAATAGACCAATCAAAACACACTTTGTACCAAGCACGTCTTCTGTTAAACAGGCACACTATTAACCAATTATTATTATTATTATTATTATTATTATTATTATTATTATTATTATTATTTTTAAACCCCGGACTATATATTTATTCTTCTTTGGTTGCTGAATATATGCTCCTACTCATATGACTGTGCCGTCTTCATTAGTTAGACGGGTTGAGAATCAACTGGGAAGTTGTAGAACTTTGGTGGTTAGCAGCTGATATCCATGCATCGTTAGTGGCTATAACAATTTGAAACCATAATGAATTCGATAGATCAGTCTATAATCTGATCACCAGATAAAGTGAATCACCGTCATGGTGCACTTTGATTAATGATGTGACATGGTTGGAAGTAAGTGACAGGAGGCCCTGCTTGATTTGAGTTTCATTCTTGTTAAGACTCGTCAGACCAATGCCTATCTGCAATGTCGGGCGAACTAATATTCCCTACTCATAGATTCAAATATGTTTCACCCAGTGCTATTATTGCAAAGCGAACCAACAAAGAATTCACCTGAAGCTATTCATTTCAGTTTATTCTGCAGTTCACTCTGTAAAATATGATATTATGTACTAACTCATTTATGCTAACCGTCTTACCGAATTTCACTACTGTCTCATTCCTCTTTGCTCTCTCTCTCTCTCACACACACACACACACACAATGATTTTCTACCACCTCTGATTGGTTTCCGCTTTATTACTTTATCTTCTCACTAAGTGCCTTCTCTTTTGATGTACTGATATGAGGTGTAGCAAATCATGGGGCAACATAGAGAATCCATGTCCCATATCGTTATTAACTGACTGATAAGCTCATTCATTGATTGATTGACTCAGCAATTCAAAAGTGGGCAAAAAGACA